TAGTGAGGAGTAGCCCAGCCCTGCCAGCGCCCAGCACAAGGCAGGGGCCAGGGAAGTGGGTATGAGTGCCCCCTGAGCTGCCAGCCGGGGCCCAGAGGACCAGCCCCACCTCGTGTCCTCACCCCGGGGCACAGCCTCTGGAAAGGGGCCCTCCCTGGCCATGGCCAGTCATCCTGTAAAAACAGAGTCTGCGTAGAGGTCCGTAAAACCTGTGCTCCAGGACGAAGCCTGTTTCTGAGAGGCCCGGCACCAGCCGCTGTCCTTCCCACTGCTCTGAGCAGCGCTGGGTGGGGCACCAGGCCATGTGCCCCCAGACGGACTTCATTTGTTGTCCGGTGAAGGGACATGCGAGGCCAGCCTGGGTGCCTTGTTACGCCTCCACATTGCCAGCAAGCTGCTCCCGGGGGGGTGGGGGGGTGCGTGCGCCTGTTCCTCGGTGCACAGAGCAGTGGCCCTCAGCCTGGCTGGGGCCCATGTGTGGGGTGGCACTGGGCCTCTGTGGGCGGTCATGCTCTGCAACCCTAAAGCACGGGTTTGGAGTCTTGGGGAAGGTGCACATGCCCTCGGCTATGTGTCCTGAAAAACCCCCAGTTTTAATAGCCGATTTCCTGGAGATGGCGAATGATGAAGCCGTGGTGTGCATGTGCCTCGTCTGGCTGGGGGCTGGTGTCCCCGGGGCTGAAATGGCTGCTGTGCGTGTGGGTCTGTGCACCGCAGCCCAGCACCTGGGCTATCCACAGACCACCTCGCGGCCCTGGGGACAGTGACATCGGTGTGTCCGTTCCTTTCCTCGCAGTTGGCAAATAAACCATGTTAGCAACAGATCTCTGCAGAGATGAGTCAGAGTTGGCAACAGTGTCTCTGGCCTTCCCGAAAATGGCCCTATTGGGCCTAATCAATGGGTTCTCAAAAACGGGTTTCACAGAATCATCACCAGTGACTTCCTGTCGCTGGCCTGTGTCAGGTGATTCTTTAGATTCATGGAAAGCTCATCTGAGGAGGCCTCTATTAAAGTACATTTTAACAAAATGTTGCGCCTCGGTGCTGGGCACTGACCTCTGACCTCTGGGCCATGGCTGGGTGGGTATGTGGGCTTGTCATGGTTCAATGCGAACGAAGCCTAGACGGGTGTTTGTGAAGAACAGGAACCGCAGGGAGAGGGACTTAATCCCTAGGCTGCCACCGGCCAGTCCTGGTCATACTGGTCGTGAATCGGGGCTGCTGGGCAGCACACGGGCGCTTTCCCTAGAGGAGCAGAGAGACCCAGCTGCTTTCTGCCTTGAATCACCATTTCAGCCTATTTTTTAAAAGAAGATGATGATGCTTTGGTCAGAGGCTCTCAAAGCTGACACTTTGGGCAGAATTACTGGGGGTTGGGGCTCCTGTGGATGGTGGGAGTTGGCATGCCCCTGCCCTGACCCCCCACCCATCAATGCCAGCACGCCCACATTGTGGCAATCGAAGTGTCTGCAGACATGTCCAGGGCCCTCCTGCCTCGGCCCCTGCCATCAGGTCACGGGTGGCCTTCCTCCTCCAGGTCATGATGCTGAGCTCAGTGCCAGAATTACACGGCTACATCGACAAGGCCCAGCTGACGGAGGACCTGGGCGGGACCCTGGATTACTGCCACACCAGGTGGCTGTGTCACCGCACAGTGAGTCCCTCCCATTCTCCCCATGGGTGCTGGCCGTGGGCTGTGGTTCCTGTGAATCCCCAGCTGATCCATAGAATTGTGTCGCATTACACTGCGTTTTCTAAGGACATGTTCCCCTTCACCAAGTTTTCTTTTCCAAGAATGAGGAGATGGTCTAAGTGGACCTCAGTTGTCTAAAGAAATAACAAGAGTAATAAGTTTGGGAGTGGCTTTCTCCCAACTCAAAGACAGAAAAGAGAGAAAAGTCCTTGTGCTGGTGGCCGCAGCACTCCCGACAAGAGAGGCCTGCCCTTAGCACGATGCCAGGGCAAGGGAGCGTTTGCAGAGAGTGCCCAGTGTGTTTCTGAAGGCTAAGGCAGCGGCAGGGCAGCCTCCGCGTGCAGCTCAGGCTTGCTGTGGCCCTGTCCTGCGCTCTGAAGATGCCCCATCTCCAGGCGGGACGTCTGCTCATGTGTGAGCAAAGCTTTAAGGCGCTTTCCCTCCTCCGAAGGCGATCGAGAGCTTTGCTGTCTTGGTCAAGCAGACAGCTCACGCGCTGCAGTGCTTCGGGACCGAGCTCGCTGAAACAGAGCTGCCCAATGACGTCCAGTCCACAAGCATGGTGCTCTGCACACACACGGAGAAGAAGGACAGAGCAAAGGTCAGTGCGCTGCTGCTGGGCCTCGTGCCTCCACGCAGCACGCTGGGGAGAGAGCCGGCGGGCATCCATAGGGCATAGCGGAAGTGGTTTCAAAGATGCCTTGGGTGCCCGTGAGCTGGGAGATCTCTGGGGGGCAAACTGAAATGCAGTGCCTCCGTGTAAAGCAGTGTGAGGGACACTGAAATGCAGGCTGCAAGACACCCCGTGGTGTCGCTGGCGGGAGCCACTGCAGCACCTGAATAAGAAGGCACTGGACACCTCCTCTGAATGGGTCCCTGGCTGCCTGCCTGCAGGGCCCTCTCCCCAGGGGTTTCTTCTGCTTTAGTGCAACGCAGACAGGCCTCTGCCCCAGGGTTCCATAGATAGCAGGGGTAGGGGTGGTTGCCTTGGAGAGGTCAAAGTAGGGTGGCCACCGTCAGCGAGGATTCACTGTTGCGTCCAGCTTGGTATGCTCTGGGAAAAGTGTGCTCCTGGCCGTTGGACGCCATGGCCACGGCCACTGGTGGTCCTTAGGGGCTGCCCTGCCCAGAGAACCTGTGCCCTTGGCTCCTGGCGGAGATGATAGCCATGGGGGCACACAGAGGGCTGGTTTCCTGTTACCCTCTTGTCCGCTCCCACTGCCCCAAGATACCTGTGGCCCTAGCCCTGCCCTCGCCGCAAGCGGGGGGCACCTCCCTGAGTTCTCCTTCAAACTCAGGAGCCCATGGTCAGCGAGGAGGGGTACGGAGACTTCACCGTGGCTGGTCCTGTGCCCACCTCACGGGGGGATGCCCCCGAGTCTGCTGCTCTCTGGCCCGGCCCCAGGCCTGGGTGTGAGCTGCCGTGCTCTTCCTGCAGGAGGACATGCGGCTGGCAGTGGGAGAGGGGCAGAGCATCCTGGAGGCCATCAGGGGGCCCCTGGCCAAGAGCGCAGAGCAGAGCCTGAACCAGACGCAGCTGGACAGCCAGGCCACTGTGCAGAGGTGAGGGCCCTGGGCAGCAGGGTGGGAGCCAGAGGCCCCCGCTCGAGCTCAGCGCCTCTCAGCGCCTCGTCCCCTCGTCCCAATGGGATACGAGGAGCCGGGGTCTTGGGAAGGCTGCACAGAGGCCGAGCCCTGCCCTGCTGCGTGCAGCAGGCGGCAGCTCACGAGGGCCCGTGGGCCGCTCCACCCTCTTCCCCAGGCTCCTAGCGCAGCTGCAGGAAACCGAGGCCGCCTTTGATGAGTTTTGGGCGAAGCACCAGCAGAGACTTGAGCAGTGTCTGCGGCTCCGGCACTTCGAGCAGGATTTCCGAGAGGTGAGTGTCCCAGGGCATGGAGAGCATGGTGGGTGGGTGGTGCCTGGTGTTCTGGGGTGGCCTGGGCAGCCAAGAGCTGGCATCCAGGGGACCATGGCACAGGCCGTGCGGTGTGTGTGATCCACGTGGAGCTACGAGATCCAGCTGGCCTGAGCCTTGGCATAGGTGACTGACAGCACCTCCCTGCCTGCAGAGGGTAGTGCCAGCTGCCCACCGCTGTGCTTGCTTCTGCGCTATGTGTGAGCTAGTCAGGGAGCCTTGTGTGCATTATCCCCATTTGTATGTTCTTTCCTCTGACACGTGCCTGCTGTGCGCCTGGGCACACAAAGATAAGCAGATAAGCTGCTGTGGGGCAGCATGCAGGTGCCAGGTGAGTCAGGGGGACCACCCACAGCTCTAGTTCCCGCCGAGTCCTGAGATGCCTCCCTTTGCAGAATGTGGGGTTTCATTCAGCACCGTTCGCTGAGCACTACTGAGTGTGCTCAGGAGAGTGAGTGAGCCCGTCTCCCTGACTCAGACCAGGGGGCTGATCCTAGGAGCCAGCACAAGCAGCCACGGCAGCCCGTGGAGACGGCCCTGAGGTCCCTATGTCTGTGGGGACAATCTGCCTTCTTACTTAGAGGCAGCTGTAGGTTCGCGTGCAGGATCCCGTGTCCCCTCTCCCCAGACTCCTCCAGAGGCTCCATCCTGCAAACCGACACACCATGTCACAGTGCAGACACTGACAGGGACAGTCGACACACAGGGCGTCCCCACCACCACAAAGACGTTTCCCTTTTATAGACACACCACCCATGTCCTCTCCTGAACAACCCCTGAGCTGCTGTCCATCCCCACAGCCTTTCATTGCTAGAACGCCCCGTACGCGGGCTCACGCAGAGGTGACCTTTGGGGGTGGCTCTTTGCACTCGCCCGATGCCAGGGATTCACGCAGGTTGCTGCGCCTTCCGGTAGCTCGCTGCTGTTCCTGCTGAGTAGTCAGCAGTGTTCCGTAGAGTTTGCTTAACCACTCGCCCACTGAAGGATGCTAGCATTCCTCCCGGTTTTGGGCGACCATGAATAAAACTAATAGAAACATCCCTGCGCAGCTTCTGCGGGACATGAGTTCTCGTTTCTTAAAGATAATTGCTCACGAGCATGAGTGCCGAGTTGCATGGTAGCTGCACATCTGGCTTTTAAAGGAACAGCCGACCAGTTACCTGGCAGGTGCCCTGCTTACGCTCCCACCAGCAGTGGGGGGTGGAAACCAGGTCTTCCACAGCCTCCCTGGGGTTTGGCGGGTGTGGCTGTTTATCTTGTGCCCATTTCCAGATAGGTGCACGGTGGCGTCCCGCAGCGCCGTGTGCATTCCCGATGGCTGGCAGCGGTGAGCATCTTCCGTGGGCTTATGCTGTGGGTGTGGCCTCCTCAGCGGAGCGTGTTTGCACTGCCCGTTTGCTCACAGGGCTGTGGGTTCAGGCTGCTCACCGTTCGTGTTGGGAATTCTGTGTGTAGTTCAGGCGCCGGCCTTCTGTCAGACGCATGGTTTGGAAATACTTTATCCACATCTGTCTATTGCCTTTTTCTCCTCTTCACAGGATTTTCCACAGAACAAAGCTTGTAATTTTGATGGCATCCAATTTATCTGTTTTTCCTTTTAAGTATGGTACTCCTGGTGTCAGTCCTAAACCCTAGGTTCCCCTAAGCTTTTTTCCTAAAACTTTTGGAGTTTTACATGTAAGTTCGAGTTAGTTTCTGTGTGAGCTGTGAGAAATAGTTCAGGGCACTTTCCAGTCTCTGGGCATCGGTGCTGCGGCGTCATTTGTGAGGTTGCTCTGCTTTCCTGCTCCGTCGGAGATGCCAGGCACGCTGGTGTGGGCCTGTTTGCGGTGTGCGTCCTGTGCCTCCGCACGCCCTTCCTCACTGCGGTGGGACAGGTTCTGACGTCAGGTGCCTGGATTCCTCCCGCTTTGTTCTTTTTCAAAATTGCTTTAGTTTTCTGGCTCCTTTTTGAAGGCTTCAAAATAATCTCATCTACATCTACAAAAGATTTTGCTGGGGTTTTCACAGGACTTGTTTCAAACCTGTGTTTTGGGGGAAGCCACATCTTTACTGAATTGAGCCTCCCAGCCGGGGAACACACCACTCTCACCATCCATCTAGACATTCTCAGGTTTCCTTCCTCAACGTCACGTGGTTTTCTGCAAACCCGTTTAGTACATGCTCTGGTTTACACTCGCATATTTCATTTCTTAAGCAATTGTAAGTGGTGCAGTATTTTCAATTTCAGCATCTATGTATATCCATTCCCACATATATAGAAATAAAATTTATTTTTGTATGTTCACCTTGTTTCTTGGAGCCTCACTGAACTCACCTGTTGTAGGATTGGTTGCGTGGGTCTCAGGCATCTTCTCCACGGTCAGGCCACGTGCAAACAGGCACAGCTGGGCCTCCTTTCCCGTCTGTACACCCTGATTTTTCATTGTCTTTGCCGACAGCACTGGCTAGAGCCTAAGGGCAGCGGAAGTGGGTGTCCTCGCCGTGCCACCGCCCTGGGGTGAGGACATTGCTTTTCCCTGTCACCCCTGTAGTGCTGGCTGCAGGGTTGCTGTGCAAGCTCAGACCCAGCCGAGGGAGTGTCCCTGCAGCCCGACCTTCCCGGAGGGGAGCTGGGCTTCCCCTTCCTCCCTCCATTCCCGTGCCAGTGTCTCCATGCCGTTTCCCTCAGCCGGCTATCCTGACGTGCGCCCGGGACTCCCACCCCTCCTGTTTCAGGTCAAAGCCGCCTTAGACGCGTTGGCGCAGAAGATAGCGACCTTCACCGATGTGGGCAACAGCCTGGCACACGTGGAGCACCTCCTGAAGGACCTCTCCAGCTTTGAAGAGAAGTCCAGCGTAAGGACGGGGCATGGACCAGTCTGGGCGGGAGACAGCCTGGAGGTGGTGCTCACAGCACCAGCAGGGCTGCTCAGGAAGGCTCGGGATTTGTGCTCTTCCGCCATCTAAGTGGAGGCCCCCCACCCGAGTGATGTCCAGGTGGAGGGCTGGCGCCTAGCCCACCCCTCCCTTTACCCTCACCCCAGCTCACCCCATCCCCCACCTCCACTCTTCCTGACCCTCACCCCAGCCCACCCCATCCCCCACCTCCGCCCTCCCCAACCCTC